ACAGCCGAGAGCCGAGCGCGGGGCTGGGGGCTGGGGACTGGCGCAGTGGCAGGCCAGACTCACCCGCACCGGGCCGCTGGCGTCCTTACAGGTGAACCACTTGAGGCAGAGCCGGACGTTGTAGTCGAGGCTCCCAGAGGCCTCAGGCACCTGCACCAGAACCGCCTTACGCCTCCGGTCCACCCAGTAGCTGAGCTTCCCTGCTGTGGGAGGGCGGCAGGCACATGGGGGTCACGCTGAGAACAGAGGTCACCGACACAACATGGTAACCCCTGCTTGATCCAGGTGTTTTGGAGTTGCCCATCTAAGGACCCACCAGGGTTTCCTAAGTGGGCCAGAAGATGGGGGGGAGGGGTGCGGAGAAGGAAGCCCAGAGTGCCACAGAATCCCGAGGGTCTTCCCAGCGTCAGCAGGGTTATGATTTCATCCGGGGAAGGAGACTTACCGAAGCAGTCGGGCAGGTTCCTCCCCACATCCTCCTCTTGGCAGTCTGCAAATGCCAGAGCAAGGGGACACACCAGCTGGGCCTCTGCCCATGTGACCCGAGTTAAGCCAAAAGACTTGTCCAGCATGGGGACCTGTCTCTGCCCCTTGCCCTGGGCAAGTCCTTCCCAAGCTGACCTAGAGGCCACGTGGCAGCAGTGCCCAGTTCAACCCTTGAGACACACCTTCCACATGGTGCTGCTGGTCCAGCTGGGCCCCACAGAAGTGGGGGATGGTCCTCAGGGTGACATGGAGATGCTGGGACACGCTCACCTTGAAGCAGCCAAAGTGCACCTGGAGCTGGGCAGGTGCAATTGTGAGCTGGGTAGACCCAGAGGCCACTGCCCTCATGCCCCTGGCCAGTTCCACCTGCGTGGGCAGAGGCCAGGGCCTAGGACCTGTGAGAGGGACACTCATGCCTTGGGACTTGGGTGGCACAGCCTCAGGATGGGCTGGTAGGTCTGATTGAGCTCTGGCCTCACCTGCCACCCTGCCTGCTGCTGGTGGGAGGCCCTGGTGACCTGCACACTCTGACACTGTGTCTCCTGGGTGTCGAGGCTCGTGGAGCAGGCCTCCAGGCCACGCAGACGCTCTGGGTGAAGGGAGGGGCCGGCAGGTCACATCAGAGCAGGGTTGACAGGGCAACCCCTACCGCAGGTATGTGACACCGTTCCTTGGCCTCCTGTCTGTGAAGTGCAGTGAGTAGTGTCCCCCACACCACCCAGGTCTTGGCGAGGATACAAGGAGCCTGGGTCCACTGCTAGACCTCCTGGTGTTACTCCTACCACGGGGCCACCTCTCACCATGCAGGATGACGGAGGCATGTACACGTAGGAATAACGAGCAGCCGTCATGGGGGACACATTTCATGGCAGTAGAGAGTGTCAGGGTCTCCAGGACCGACCTGGACATGAACGTTGGGAGTGGCTGGCAGAAACTGTTAAAGATGTTCCCTGGGGAAGGAGAAGAAGGGTGAGGTCACAGGTTCCCTGATGCTTGGAAGAAGTTCTGTGGGAAGTTGAGCAAGCAGCAAGCGCTCTGGGGCTGCCCAATCTGGGAAGGAATCCTCACTGTCTCACCCCAGCACAATGAGAGAGCCAGCCCCCCTGGCAAGTGGCACTCAGGAATGTCTGTTGGACCCAGAAGTAGGGCCCAGCTCAGAAGAGCAGACTGCCCACCAGTCTACCCCTGAGAAGGGTAGGCTGATGCCCTATCCAGCCAGTAAGGGGGCAGAAGAGCCTACTACCAACTCCCTGGCTAGCCTTATCATCTCTGCTCCAAGATGAAAGGAAAGGCCAACACAGACCTGCTGGGGGCACCTTGGACTCAACCCTGAGGTGACAGCAGCCTGAGTCTCTGTCCACAGGCAGGTGGCTGTATCTTCACAGGTAGGACTTGCCCATCAGGGCCTTGCTCAGGACACGGGCAATCATGGTCAGACCAAATGCCATGTGGGGCAGCCTGGCCTGATATGGGTAAGGTAGAGGTGAGGTCTCACTTTGGGCACCGGGGCTAAGCAATTTTGCTGCCTTTGCTCAGATGGGTTTGCAGGTAAGGGCGCAAAGTAGAGCGCCACATGAGCCATGAATCTCTGGTAACCCCACCATTCCATAGGAGGGGACCACCACTCTCTTCATAGATGGTGCTACCAGCAAGGCATAGGACCCACAAGTTGTTGGTAAGACAGTGCAGCCTGGTACTCAGTGCAGCCCACATTGACCACAGCACCTGGTGTCTGAAACAACAGGCTCAAAGGGACAATGGGAATTAAGGGGTCTGAATATGCTTATAGGAAATAAATCCAACTCTTACAAATTCACACTGTAGCCAACATAGAGTTATAGGGATTGGATTTACACTCTTGCCTGAAATAGCCAGGGAAACTGAGACAAAATACATGAAGCTGATATGGAGACCTGCTATTGTTTGTTCAGATTGCCACAACCCCTAGAGAAGGGCATGGCGAGTATTCAAGTGGGCCTGCACATCCCCACATTCTTGGGACTTAACAAAGAAGAACATTTCCCCTTATCTCCTTTGCACTCTCAGTAAATAACTTCAAAGAATTTTCAACCTCCCTGCAGACTGTGCTCAATTAACTGAGATAAATGAATCCTCATTTACTCCCTTTTCTTAGTAGACATAGGTTTGAATAATATAGCTATCAGTGTAATCCTAAGTCTTATGATTTGTATAACTTTTCCATACTAATAACAAGTAAAAATGAATGTCTTAGACCTTAATAGCTCCCTTTAATCTATGGCAAGCTTTATTAACACTTCTGCCGGGTGTTACTGATAAGAAGCTATGAAATACCTCTGGCAACCGGTGTGAGAAAATATGGAACATAAATATCATTATTGACAAAATGTGACTGAAGTTCTATACAGTGCTCTTCCAGTCAGGTAGTAGGTACCAATGATCCTGAACTTATACAAGCGGACTGTGAAATCCGAAGGGTAAGCAGACCTATTTCAGAAAGGCCAGGAGCCAGGCTCTGCTCCCCATATTCGAATTCAGAAATATACCTCTTTCTACCAATTCCTTGTGTCTCAATTTATTGGTGTCGAGGGATAGCAGCTGAGCATTACTTGGACTGTAACAAAGCAATGATTTCAGGACTGTGGATGTGAAGAAGTAAAGGACAGTGATCCCTGAGAGATGGGAAACATACACGGTGAGCTCTGTGAACACTCCATTGTTTTCAGAGTATTTCCAGGCTGTGGTAGAGGGACAGGGAACCTGAGTGGAGTGGAGAATTCAGGCAGACCAAGGCAACCAGGGTATTCAGAACAGAGTATGAGAGTGGAAAGAATGATGCAGAGAGAGAACACTTGGGAATAGTCACTTTGTTAAGTATTCAGCAGAGTATTCAATAGCACATGTGTATGAGGAAACTACCGAAGGTGGAGAAAGAACGACCCAAAATGATTTGAGGGAATTTATACTGTATTCACACAGGCCTGGGAATATAACCTGTTCTCAGCCAGGCTGGAAATCTCTTGACTCAGGGCATTGGGTACATTGTACTGAACAGTCTTGCCTCAGTAAAAGGGATAATTAACCTTAGACTGGGCACTACTCTGGTCCTGCCTAACAAATGTGCAAAGGAAGATCCAAAAAGATTAAGCTGTTTCCAAGAAACTTAACTATTGTCCAGAAAAAAGCTCAAGGATATTTGTAGAAATAAGAAATATTTTTTCTTCTATCACAAAACAGGGTAGAATCTTTTATATCTAATAAAAATTATAAGCCATGCAAAGAATCAGGAAAAAAAACCAACCCACAATGAGGAGAAAAATCAATTAATCAAAGTTAACAAAGCACTGACACAGATATTAGAATTAGTAGACAAGAACATTAAAACAATTATTATGACTGCATTCCATATGTTCAAAAAGTTAATTGTAGAATTGGAATATATAAATAAGACCCAAATATAGCTTATAAATAAAACTATAGTGTTTGAGAGAAAAATATCCCAGATAGGATTAATACCAGATTAGACACTTAGACACTGCGGGGGGGGAGGGGGGGAGAAATGGAGAAATGTTGGGAAACTTGAAAATATAGCAATAGAAACTATCCAAAAGGAAGCAGAGCAAAAGAATGATGATGATAGAACAAAACATCAGTGAGTGTTAAGTGACTGAATAGATGTGTAATTGGAGTTACTTAAGGAAAGGAAGGAATGAAAAAAAAAAACTTGAAGAAATTTTCCAAACTTAAAAACAATAAATGCGCAGATGCAAGATCATTGACTGCTGAATATAAGAAACATGAATAAATTATACCAAGGCACTTCATAATCAATTTGCTCAAAACCAATGACAAAAAGAAAATTATAAAAGCCACCAGAGGAAAAAAGACATGCTATATGCAAAGGAGCAAAAATAAGGATGGTGGTAAACTTCTTGCTGAAAACAATGTAAATGATAAGACAGTGGAGAAACACCATCAAAACACTGCAAGACAAAACCTGACAACCTAGACTTATACCATGTAAAAATACCTTTCAAAATTAAAGGTAAAGACTTCTTTATTATACAAAAGCTGAAGGAATTCATCACCAGAAAATCCACACTACAAAAAAATATTAAAGAAAGTCCTTTTGGTAGGAGAGAAAATTGTAACAGGTGGAAATGGTATCAAAGGAATAGAGAATATAAAAAATGGCAATTATGTCGTAAATACACAAGATGTTTTATTTTATTTATTTTATTTTTTTGATTTGGAATCTCACTGTTGCCCATACTGGAGTGCAGTGGCCGCTCCTGGCCACCTCAGTCTCGACTTGCTGGGCTCCGGCGATCCTCCCACCTCAGCCTTCCAAGCAGCTGGAACTATAGGCATGTGCTACCACACCTGGCTAATTTTTTAAAAAATTTATTGTAGAGATGAGGTCTTGCCAAGTTGCCCAGGGGGGCCTCGAACCCACGGGCTCAGGCAATCCACTCACCTCAGCCTCCTAAAGCGCTGGGATTGCAGGCTGAGCCACCGAGCCCAGCTCAAGATGTTTTATTATTATTTAAGTATGTTTAAAAGATCTCTGATTGTTTAAATAAAAAAATAATGTTCTGTGGGTTTTAGAACATATGTAAAAGAACAAAGGCCCAGAAGAGAGAAATAGAACTATCTTATGGTAAGATTCTTAGGCTATACATAGAACAGTATATTATCACTTGAAGGTAGAATATAATAAATTAAAAATGTATATTATAACTCCCAGAGCAGTCATTAAAATATGAAAACAAAGAGTTTGAACTAATACATCAACAAAGGTGATAAAATGGAATCACAAGTAAATACTGAATTAATTCAAAAGAAGGTAGAAAAAAGAAGAAAAAGCTAACAGAGATGGACCAAATTTTTAAAAATAACAAAATGATAGAGTTAAACCAAACCATATCAATAATCATGTTGAATGTAAATGTTTGAATATCATAGTTACAAGGCAAATATTTTCACATTGTTTAAAAAAGTATTAACTGACTATATGCTGCGTATAGAAAAAACACTTTATTTTATTTTTATTTTTTTTAGTTGAAGTCTCACTCCGTCACCCAGGCTGGAGTGCAGTGGCATGCTCATGGTCACCCCAGCATTGACCTGCTGGGCTCAGGTGATTCTTCCACCTCAACCTTCCAAGTAGCCGGAACTATAGGTGTGTGCTATCATGCCCAGCTAATTTTTAAATTTATTGTAGAGATGAGGTCTCACCAAACTGCCCAGGCTGGTCTCGAACCCGTGGGCTCAGGCAATCCTTTCACCTCAGCCTCCTAAAGTTCTGGGATTACAGGCTTGAGCCACCGCGCCCGGCCAAGAAAAAGCACTTTAAATATAAAGGCACAAATAAGTTAAAAGTAGAAAGATAAGGAGGAAAAAAGACATGGCACGATAACACCAATTTTAAAAAGCTGGAGTGATTAATAATTCCAGACAACATAGATTTCATGGCAAAGAATATTACCAGTGATACAGATGGTAATTTTGTAATAATACAGGGAACAATTCATCAGGAGGACATAGCAATCCTAAACATTTATACACTTAATAGCTTCAAAATATACAAAGCAAAACTGATAAAACTACAAGGAGAAACACACAAGTCCATGATAACAGTCGTGATTTCAGTACTCTTCTCTTTCTATAGAACAAATAGGCAGACAATCAGAAAAATTACAGAAGACTTGAAAAACACAACCAATGTCCCTGACATCTACAGAATCTCCCTTTCAACAGCAACCACATATGCATTCTTTTCAGGTGCACATAGAATGTTTACTAAGATAGAGCATATTCTGGTCCATAAAACAGTCTCAATAAATTTGAAAAGACTCAAATCATACAAACCATATTCTCTAACCAAAATGGAATTAAGTTAGACATTAGTAAAAAATATTTATGGAAAA